CACCTAACCACAGTGTCTACACTTCTTTGCACACTAACTGCAATTGCCCGAAAAGAAAGTCCAGCTTCCCGAAGTCCCACTATACGGCCCCTATCAAACTCACTAAGTTGACGAAATCAGATATCGTACTTCGCATTAGACCTGTACGGATCTGTATAACATGCTTATGCTTAAATGGCGCATTTGATATTGTATAGAGAGACAAAAGCAAGCGCTTGCGGCTTGTGTCGAAGTAGTGCACAGACCCCTTTCAAGCGGCCCATGAATAATGTTACGCTGCGGTCGCGACGAAAATGACAAGTACACAATTGGTCGATTATAATGCTTTCTCAATACAAAACAGACTGGACGCTGTGTCTTGCGGCGGCAGCGTTGCCGGTATTGTTTCTATTTGTGTTATAACATGGAAAATAAATAATGATCAAATTACTACTGCTTTTTTCTGTTAAGACAAAAGTTTTGGCAGTTCTGCAGCTCTGCAGAACTTAAGGGCCAGCCGCCCCTGAATCTAGGTCTTTCGACCACATAATTTGTCTTGTTATCCTAGCTCCTCATTACATTTTCAAGTTAGAGACAGGTCATTTATGTTAATGTTTTTAAATAGTATGGGTGCCTTACCAATGACTAAGAGTGTTTCTTTTTCACCCGCCATATTTATTTGAAATAAAATTCGTGATAAACGGAATAAGACAAAATTTCCAAGTTCTCCATGTTCTTATACGAGATACTATTTCACATTCACATTGCCACTTCAAATACTATGATACAAAATGTAGTCTCATTTTCGATACAATCATCAAAATGCTGCCGCCAGGTTATTAAGATTGCTTACAACTAATTGAGAAATTATCTTCGTTTCAGACGACCAGCCACGTATCTCATTATACAGGGTGTTTCAGAACTATGGGTCAAACCTGTAGGGGTTATTCAGTGTAAGAGTAGAAGACATTTGAGTATAGGGACCCATATCCTGGGCTTGTGTTTGCAAGAATTTAACAAAAATTAATTGTTGCTAATGGGAAACGTTACCAATCAAGAATTGGCGGATACGTATTCGGCATACGGAGCAACAAGCTGCAATGCACGAGCAGCAGCGCGGTTGTATCAAGGACGTTATCCCGAACAGCAGCATCCGGGATACAAAAAGTTTATTGCTGTTCATGGCATGTTTAACACCAACATGCATGATACTGGTATTGCCCGAACCGTAAGAACGGTCGAATCTGAAGAAGAGGTCCTTCAGCTAGTTGCCGACGAACCGTCAAGTAGCACACGTCACATTGCTGAGGATATGAATACGAGTAACGCTTCCGTCTGGCGGGTGCTACACGAGCAACAACTTTACCCTTACCACTTCCAGAAATTTCAAGGATCGACTGCGGCCGATTATCATCCTAGAGTGCAATTTTGTCAACGGCTTCTTCATCAAATCGCTGCACAACCAAATTTTTTATGGACCGATGAAGCTTTTTTCACAAGAGACGGTATTTTAAATATACTAAGTGACATATAAATCCGAATACCCAGTTTAAATGGTTTTATTTTAATGAAAGTTGGTGAATGTATTTATCTTACTGTAAATAACAAGTGAAAAAATTTTCAGCCTTATCAGTTGGACATTCCGGTTTTTATACTGATTTTTTTTAATTCACTAACGCTCTAAAAATGAATATTTCAGCCACAGTAAAGAATCGACGTTGGCGGATTTTGGTTCTCGACATCCTTTACGATCGATTACGATGCCTAGAGTACGGAGACCTGTACGATTTCGTCAACTTAGTGAGTTTGACAGGGGCCGTATAGTGGGACTTCGGGAAGCTTCGGGACTTTCTTCTCGGGCAATTGCAGTTAGAGTGCAAAGAAGTGTAGACACTGTGGTTAGGTGTTGTCAGGCATGGCTTCGAGAAGGCCGTACGCAAAGAGCAAGGGGCACTGGACGCCGCCGTAGAACAACAGACCGTGAAGATCGCCGCCTAAGATTATTGGCCTTAAGGGACCGTTTCTCCACTACCAGGTCCATTGCAAATGAATGGTTTGCACAACGCGGATTGGCATGCGAAGTGTTTACCGACGAATGAGAAGTTTTGGCTTGTTTTCATACCGACCACACTGGGTCCTTCCTTTAACTCGAGAACACCGACGTAATCGCCTTGAGTGGTGCAGACAACGGTCACTCTGGGATCAGGAATGGAACAGTATTGTCTTTAGTGACGAGTCTCGATTTTGTTTAGGCATGCACGATGGTCGTGCCAGGGTTAGAAGGCGACGTGGTGAAAGGAGGAATCCACAGTTTTTTGTTGAAAGACATGTTCATCACACTGTTGGAGTTATGGTTTGGCGTGCTAGAGCTTATGGTTCCAGGTCACCTTTAATCTTCATCAGAGGTAACATGAACGCGCAGCGTTATATCCACGATGTTCTAGAACCCCATCTTTTACCCTATCCTGACACCCTGGCAGATCCAACTTTCCAACAAGATAATGCCCGACCACATGTTGCAAGAGTCACAATAGACTTCTTTCAACATAATGATGTCACATTGTTACCATGGCCACCAAGATCTCCCGACTTATCCCCAATTGAGCACGTGTGGGATATGATGGGTAGGAGATTGCTCAATTTGCAACGTCCTCCTCAGACTCTAGAAGCACTTCGAGAGGAGTTGGTGGTTGCCTGGAATGAGATACCACAGGAGGACATTGACCACCTGATTAGAAGCATGCCTAGGCGCGTTGGAGAATGCGTAGCACATCAGGGTGCATCAACACATTATTAAAGGTCAAAGGGCTTTAAAGCAGTGCAATCATTTTGAAATTTTTATCATTTACTTATTATGCTTCATTAAGTACTTATACAAAATTTTATTAAAATAAAACCATTTAAACTGGGTATTCGGATTTATATGTCACTTAGTATAGTAGGAATAGCCACGTTTGGGGACAAAAAAAATCCCCATGCAATTTTTCCTAGCAAACATCAGCAACATTGGTCTGTCAACGTATGGGCAGGCATTTTTGACAAATATTTGATTGGGCCAAACGTTCTACCGAAGCGGTTAACAGGACCTTTTTACCGGAGTTTCTTGGACAAAGTTCTTCCAGAAAATGTTCCATTGAACGTTCAACAGCAAATGTGGTTTCAGCGTGATGGAGCGCCGGTCCACTTTGCTGTACAAGTACGTGAGTATTTGGCTCAGCGGTTTAGGCACCGTTGGATTGCCAGAGGTGGAGCAGTGTCTTGGCCTCCTAGCTCACCCGATTTAACGTCGCTAGATTTTTTCCTGTGGGGACATGTAAAGTCTTTGGTTTAGGAAACTCCAGTAGAAACAGAGCAAGACTTAATTGGACAAATTACAGCAGCATTTGATATCATTCAAAACGCGTATAAAATTATATGTATACTAAGTGACATATAAATCCGAACACCCAGTTTAAATGGTTTTATTTTAATAAAAGTTGGTGAATGTATTTATCTTACTGTAAATAACAAGTGAACAAATTTTCAGCCTTATCAGTTGGACATTCCGGTTTTTATACTGCTTTTTTTTAATTCACTAACGCTCTAAAAATGAATATTTCAGCCGCAGTAAAGAATCAACGTTGGCGGATTTTGGTTCTTGACATCTTTTACGATCGGATACGATGCCTAGAGTACGGAGACCTGTACGATTTCGTCAACTTAGTGAGTTTGATAGGGGCCGTATAGTGGGACTTCGTGAAGCTGGGCTTTCTTTTCGGGCAATTGCAGTTAGAGTGCAAAGAAGTGTAGACACTGTGGTTAGGTGTTGTCAGGCATGGCTTTGAGAAGGCCATACGTAAAGAGCAAGGGGCATTGGACGCCGCCGTAGAACAACAGACCGTGAAGATCGCCGCCTAAGGGACCGTTTCTCCACTACCAGGTCCATTGCAAATGAATGGTTTGCAGAACGCGGAAGACCTATTGGCATGCGAAGTGTTTACCGACGAATTAGAAGTTTTGGCTTGTTTTCATACTGACCACACTAGGTCCTCCCTTTAACTCGAGAACACCGACGTAATCGCCTTGAGTGGTGCAGACAACGGTCTCTCTGGGATCAGGAATGGAACAGTATTGTCTTTAGTGACGAGTCTCGATTTTGTTTAGGCATGCACGATGGTCGTGCCAGAAGGTGACGTGGTGAAAGGAGGAATCCACAGTTTTTTGTTGAAGGACATGTTCATCACACTGTTGGAGTTATGGTTTGGGGTGCTATAGCTTATGGTTCCAGGTCACCTTTAATCTTCATCAGAGGTAACATGAACGCGCAGCGTTATATCCACGAAGTTCTAGAACCCCATCTTTTACCCTATCTTGACACCCTGGCAGATCCAACTTTCCAACAAGATAATGCCCGACCACATGTTGCAAGAGTCACAATAGACTTCTTTCAACATAATGATGACACTTTGTTACCATGGCCAACAAGATCTCCCGACTTATCCCCAATTGAGCACGTGTGGGATATGATGGGTAGGAGATTGCTCAAAATTTTATTAAAATAAAACCATTTAAACTGGGTGTTCGGATTTATATGTCACTTAGTATATAAGTATAAAAAGTCCGCCGGAATCATGTACGACGTTTATCTCCGTATATTCAGGTTGGAGGAAGACATTTTGTACAATTGTTGTGATGATATCATGTACAAAAGGCAAACATTAAATGCATTAAACCCTATTTAGTCAGTTCATGGTCTTTCTAAATTTTAACGCGTCTTTTCCGCATATGGGCCCCTATACTCAAATGTTTTCTACTGTTACCCCTAGAAGTTTGATCCCTTAGTTCTGAAACACCCTGTATTATTTCTGAAAATTCCCCATTGGGGTAGGTACCTGCCTTGGAAATGATGAAGTCATACCTGGATAGACACCTTATTGTAAAGTAATCTGTCTGGTATGTACTTAAATAAAATTACCAGGTAGATTTTGGGCTTTGATGGACGGGACAGATGCAAATTTTGTTGCTTCAATCAGTCTTTTCAGGTAAAGAGTGCCTCGAGGTTGTTACGATGTTCAGCAAATCGAAACGGTTCCAGTATGTTCCTAGTGAGGTTCCAAGGAAAAGGGCGGCGAAGAAAAGTGGAACCGGCGGAAAATGTGAAACACGCAAGGAAAGTCCAAGGGCCGAGTTGAGGAGGGAGGGAACTTTTGTTATCGCTAAGGTACGTTTTTTAAATCGAGTGATTTATAAAGATGCCTGAAACTTTTACACAAGGTGTTTCCTAATTCAAATGTCAATATTTAACGGAGCGATTTTTCGATCTAAATATGATAATGCAATAACTTTATCTTTCTTATTACACTGGACAACAAATTTTAGTTTTTTAATTGTATCTTGTGGGAAAAGTGCACTTCTTTGTTAATTTTGGGGCGCTGAATCCAAAAATGACAATGAAATAAAAAATGAGTTGCGGTTTAGAAAAAAACTTTTTATTTTCAAGGATATATTAAAAAAAGTAACAAGATTCATATACTTATAAGAATCACTATATGCGCTGTCTTTTTGCTGTTCTTTTATGGATCGTTTCTGGAGCATCTCTATCAAGAGTCAACAGTAGTCTGCAAGCATGGAAGGATTCCACTTTCCCTGGTACCTTTTTTCCATTGTTGAAATATCCCGATGAAAACGTTCGCCGTGCTCATCACTTACGGCTCCGCAATTGTCAGGAAAAAAGTCCAGGTGTGAGTGTAGGAAATGTATCTTAAGAGACATATTACAGCCCATCTTTTGATACGATGACAGCATATTTTTGACAAGGGTTTTATAGTTGTCAGCTTTTCTATTTCCCAAGAAATTAGTGACCACCAGACGGAAATCATTCAATACCTGTTAAAGTGTTTTCAAACTGTGTATCTTTCAAAATATTTCGAATCTGTGGCCCAACAAAAATACCTTCTTTAACCTTTGCCTCACTTAGTCTTGGAAATTTCTGACGCAGGTATTGAAAAGCTGACCCATCTCTATCTAATGCCTTGACAAAGTTTTTCATTAGGCCCAACTTGATATGCAGTGGTGGTAATAAAATTTTTTTCGAATCTACTAATGGCATATGCTGTACATTTTTTTGACCTGGCTCTAGGAATTGACGAACAGGACAGTTTTGTCTGGTGTAATGAAGTGCCTTTGCCCGACTGTCCCATTCACACAAAAAACAGCAAAACTTTGTGTAGCCTAGCTGCAGCCCAAGTAAAAGTGCAACAACTTTCAAATTGCCACAAATATGCCATTGGTGCTCATCGTATTTTATGCATGTCAATAGGTACTTCATATTGTCATATGATTCTTTCATGTGAACTGCATACCCTACAGGAAGAGATGGTAAAATATTTCCAATATGCAATAACACTGCCTTTAAACTCAATGTTGAACTGTCTATAAACAATCTCCATTCTTCTGGGTGATAGTTTATATTTAAAGCCGCCAGTAAGCCGTTAATGTTACTGAAGAAAACCAAGTTATTCTCCATATTGAAAAATGGTTCTAAGACTTTGTGGCGTTTACGAAAAACACATACCGAAACATCGTCTTCTAACAAGTTCCACTGCTGCAGTCTTGATCCAAGTAACTCTGCCTTACATTTTGGAAGTTTTAAATCTCTTACAAGATCATTTAATTCTGACTGTGTTATTTTGTGCGGTTGGTGGCATGACGTGCTCGGTATAAAATCAGGATCTCTTGACGTTGATGGCATATCTTCTTCCTGACGAATCACTCGATCGCCATGATCTGATTCGTTTTCTGATTCGCAAGTGTAGGATTCTGGGGGTTTTGGAATAGGATTTTCGTCACTGTGAGGCACAGGTCTCATCGCAGATGGTATGTTTGGGTAGTTAATAACCGATTTTTTTTTCTTGGACATACCTGTGGCTTGTCCAACACAAGGTACCATGCAAAAGTAACAATCATTAATATGATTTGTAGGCTCTCTCCAAACTATTGGGACAGCAAAGCGCATAGACCGTTTTTTGCGATTTAACCAGCTCCTCAGACTTGAACCACATGTATTACAGCAGATTTGGGGTGCCCACTGTTTGTCTTGATCACCTAGTTTACAACCGAAATAAAGCTGATATGCCTTTGTTATTAGTGGAGTAATAGACCGTCTCTGAGACGCAAAAGTCACATCACCACACACGTAACAAAACTGATCTGGATTGTTTACACACGTTCGAGTCATCTTGCATGAACGCTGTCAGCCAACTGAGGAAAAAATGGCTAATATAAAACAATATAATGTACACGTATGTATAACATAACACAATCATGCCGATTACATCATCTTTCCTTGCCGAATATAAAAATGTAGCACGTGCATTCTTGTGAATTTATTTTTTATTATATTTATTATTATAAATTACAGTATATTAACACTGTCACAGCAGGAACACATATAATTACCGTATCTCTAAAGCTTGAACTAATATTGAAAAAATAGGTTTCATTCCGGTTTTAGCACATTGAAAACAGTAATATTTTGTTGATTTTATTTAGGATATTTTTTGGCTGTTGATCAGTGTTATCAATCATACCTTACGCTCTAAATCTCGTTTCATTCTGTTTTAAGTAGCACCCCCAAACAAGTTACAAAATACTAAAGGTATCTATGTCCTTCTTACGCCAAAACTGGCGAGGATGTAATCGCGAAGAATTTAGAAATTGAGATATTATGATATGTACAGGGTAGCCAATTAAGAATGCAAGATACTGTACCTGGGAGCCTGTCCATCGTTAAGCATTACTGAAACGATCAAGAAAAAAATCTGGAAAACATTATCATGTTTCTGAAATGGCCGCTAGGGGGCGTAACTGCAATTTTGAATATACAGGGTGTTCCTTAATGATATGCAAATATTTACGGGTATAAATCTACATGAAAAAAAAAGAAAGTGGAAATTAATTAATATTTTCAGAACCGCTTCAGGTATTTCACTGATATTTAGTACGTAGTGGAAGTTAATGAAGTTGCATATTTTTCAATGCAAAAATAATTTTTAGCTTTAACACTCGCGTGCGTACGGGCATTGACTTCGATATTTCTTAAGAAAAAAATGGTTCGCCGATGGTTTTTTGTCAAATAAAAATTATTTTCGATTTCCCCGTTTAATTTAAAAGAAAAGATGTGTCTTGAATTGTTTTCCTTTGATGCGCCATCTTTGGGTAAAAAAATAAAAACCGTTCTATTGCAAAATTATTATTAATCTAATTGGAAAAATTAAACACATTAGGGGTAATGCAGAACAACAACTGACAACATAAACATAACATTAAAACCAACGAAATGATTACAAAAATTGTTGATAATGACCAACTTCACTTAGTATGTATTCTTCCGCCCTCCTTCTCGTTGAAATATCATTATATTGTATAAAAGTGATCTTTCTGTAAATTTCGCTATATTAACCCAACAAAAAAAACCTGATCATTAAAGTCGAGGATACTGTGATCTTTTCTTGTTTGACAGGTTTTGCTGTATCTCTAAAAATAAAGTGGTGGGAGGCATTCAAAGGTTTCCGTAAAAAAGATCCTGTATCTTTAAAACAGCTGAGCCGATTTCAACAAACTTGGGCTAGTTAGAAAGAGCTATTCTTGGACTACATTTTCTCAAATAAATTAAATGCATCAGGCTTTTTGAATTCATTTGACTCATCCTTTTTCTTTGAAACCTTTAGGGCCCATTTCACCAACATTAATATTATGGGCCAATGGGAAAATACCTTATCGAAATGCGATTTGACAGAAGCTGTCAAAGGTATCTGAATATTAGTGATTTCTATTGAATAAAATCGTGAAAATTCGACTGTATTATAAACAAGACCACTTTTTGATTCCAACATGATGCTTTTGTACAGAAAAAACAGGACAGCTTTCTTGTATTTTGATATATGTTATAGGTTTTCATTTAGCAATCCGTTATCACCTTCAGCGAATGGGAATGCGGCAAATAATAGGTCGACTTTCTAGCTGTTAAATTTGGCAGCAGATTTGGACGTTTGTTAATGCATGGCACTCTCGAATTTACCAACTTCAATATACTGAAAGTTATCATTACATACCTGTTGAATAGTGTGGATTTGTCTGTATTTTGCAAGAAAATAGAATATAAAATACATTCCATCCAATTCCTCATCTTCCTTTACGTTATAATAGTAATCATTTATTAATTTATGGGTTAATGAATTTCTTCAAAACAATAAAAACATGATGCCCTCTCCATCCTAAAACACAGATAATATGAGTAAGACGTGTTAATCCCTACACCTCCCCGATGCATAATGCAATTACTATGGACATGGACAAAAAATATAGGATCGTATCGAACATACCTACTGTCAAGATGTATAACCCAAGGTACCGACGGAGCTATTTTGCGGCGTCATGGACATACGTAATTTTAAATTTTCATTTGCATTTTTTCAAGTGTTGTGCAATGATTTTGGGAAAAATTTCACGAATACTCTTATAAAGCATAGTAGAGAATATTTCAACAGCTGGCAGAACTTACTCCACTGGGACCAGGAAGGTGAAACGGGATATTAAAGCATAATCTGGCAACCCTGTCGCACCCTCACAAAATGGCCGCTGACAACCACACAAGTCACCGTGTTGTCATTGAATAGCATGGAATTAAACCTTCAGAGTATATGTTTTGTGACTGGTACCAACAGTTGACAGATCCCACACATGTGTCACTTCTTGAAATGCAATAATCAGCTGTATTCAAATACTGTCTAATATAAATATAACCTAGAATGTGTACTCGTGAAAAAAGAAAAATATGACAAATTTGTAATTGTTTTTGCAGGTTTTAGGTTTGCTGGTAGCTTTAAGGCATATATTTGGGAATTTCTTAATCGCTGTGAATATAGTGTGGATGTTTGTTCAGTTCCTGAACAGCGAAAAATATTCAGCTTTATGGATGTATGGATATCAAAAACCTGAATGGTTCTGTGGGAATATCAATCTAAGCTGCCATAATGGTTCTGATGAACGGCAAGTAAATGAATGAATGTTTGGAAACGAGCAATATCTTTTGGTAGAGCCTGTCATCAAGTAGGTGCTTAATGGCTATCTGCAAGAGGTTTATAGGAAAAAACACCCAGTATCACATATCAATTGAAGAAAATAATATAAACATGAATAAAAAATCAACAATAGTAATTAAAACATGAATTTAATTCAAAAATCAAACATTTCTTAAAATTTTGGCTGAATTATATGTATATGTATTTTGTTTTCAACATTTCATAGCTATTGGTTGCTAAAATTTGTTGATTGGAACTTGAAGCTCATTCGCTGTATCTGACGGTCTGTTACCCTATAGGTGGAGAATAACGGACTGTTGTTGGTGAAATTGGCCCTTAATCTACTAGACGCCATTTTTTAGATAAGACTCCGCATTCGAGAAAAAAGTTCCAACTACATTTTTTAAAGCACGGTTTTTGATGTCCCTTAGCGTGAGGTTACTGGGTGCTAATCTGGTGGAAGTTTGTTTTAAAATTTCTTAAACAAAATAGAAAAATTGCTACTTTGCTTCTCCAGGTTTCTCGAATCACTCTAAATAAAAAAGTGAACGTTGTCAAGCTTTGTCTGAAAAATGTTCTACTTGTTGTTACAGAGAGGTTCAGGAAGACCCTGCCCAACAAAATCACCAACAAACGAAACAGAAGATGGAGATATTATCTATCAGTCTGACCGTTGTATCATCAGAAGAACATCGGCTAGATTAAATATCAGCTCACCGAAGAACAACGCTAGTTCAAGGTCTCAATCAATTACACCAAAACAAGAAGACCCAAGTCTATGCTTTAACAGTAAGCGCTGTGCCATTAGAAGAGCGACATCAAATAAAAGTAGTGCCCTGAATGAGACTAGTTCAAGCAACAGAGCATCCAGAACTCTGGTGATAGAAGTATCGTCAATTTATAACAACCCAGGTAAAGGCGACGGTTCATCAGGGATATCCACTAGAAGGTCAAAATCGACCAGCACTTCAGTCAGCCAGAATGAAGACTTCAACAGAACCCCGCACGAAGAGCACAGCTCGAAAGATCTTGTTAGCAGTATCGATAGTGGGATGAGTCTACACAATTCTGCAGAAAGTCTACCAACTACTGATGCAGAATGCACAAAACCGCCGACAGCTTCTCCAAAATCAAGCTCGCCCGGAAGTATCCAGGCGTCTCTGAGCGAAGCTGTACGAAAATTGAAACTGCTTTCAAATCAGACTGTTTCGAAGACGACAAACGAAATTGAGACGCGTCTGGACCGTTTGAAAACAGAGCTGAAACAGTACAACTACGAGATCGCCAGAAATTTTGAGTTTGAAACAAACAAAGTGTTGAACGATTTTAGTTCAACGATTCGTGAGACTGTCCAGACAGAAAGGAACGAGAATCTTCGGGATACGATAAACAAGTTAAAAAGCCAGTTGAAGGACGCCAATTCTCGAAGGAGGGCGCTGGCAAGTTTATACAGGGATGTTTGCGAAGGTAATGCCAGGAAGGAGAGGCAGCAAAGGGAGGTTATAGATCAACTCAAACATGAAGTTGATGCTATGGAAATTGCTTTTCGAATGAACAAGATATCTAAGTATTTTCCGGAAAATTGCCCCGGCTTTCCCTGACTTTGCTCAAAAACGTTTTGTTCACTTTGTATTTCATAACGGTTGTTGCAGATACTGAAAGGTCAATAAAGTTGTTTATCCATCACATGCGGTTTTATTTATACTAAGTGACATATGAATCCGAACACCCAGTTTAAATGGTTTTATTTTAATAACAGTTGGTGACATTCCGGTTTTTATACTGCTTTTTTTTTATTCACTAACGCTCTAAAAATGAATATTTCAGCCGCAGTAAAGAATCAACGTTGGCGGATTTTGGTGTCAAGATAGGGTCAAAGATGGGGTTCTAGAACTTCGTGGATATAACGCTGCGCGTTCATGTTACCTCTGATGAAGATTAAAGGTGACCTGGAACCATAAGCTATAGCACCCCAAACCATAACTACAACAGTGTGATGAACATGTCTCTCAACAAAAAACTGTGGATTCCTCCTTTCACCACGTCGCCTTCTAACCCTGACACGACCATCGTGCATGCCTAAACAAAATCGAGACTCGTCACTAAAGACAATACTGTTCCATTCCTGATCCCAGAGTGACCGTTGTCTGCACCACTCAAGGCGATTACGTCGGTGTTCTCGAGTTAAAGGGAGGACCCAGTGTGGCCGCTATGAAAACAAGCCAAAACTTCTCATTCGTCGGTAAACACTTCGCATGCCAATAGGTCTTCCGTGTTCTGCAAACCATTCATTTGCAATGGACCTGGTAGTGGAGAAACGGTCCCTTAAGGCCAATAATCTTAGGCGGCGATCTTCACGGTCTGTTGTTCTACGGCGGCGTCCAGTGCCCCTTGCTCTTTGCGTACGGCCTTCTCGAAGCCATGCCTGACAACACCTAACCACAGTGTCTACACTTCTTTGCACTCTAACTGCAATTGCCCGAAAAGAAAGTCCAGCTTCCCGAAGTCCCGCTATACGGCCCCTATCAAACTCACTGAAATCGTACAGGTCTCCGTACTCTAGGCATCGTAACCGATCGTAAAGGATGTCAACAACCAAAATCCGCCAACGTTGATTCTTTACTGCGGCTGAAATATTCATTTTTAGAGCGATAGTGAATTAAAACAAAGCAGTATAAAAACCGGAATGTCCAACTGATAAGACTGAACATTTTTTCACTTGTTATTTACAGTAAGATAAATACATTCACAAACTTTTATTAAAATAAAACCATTTAAACTGGGTGTTCGGATTTATATGTCACTTAGTATAGTTACATAGAGTATGCGAACACATATTTCTCTTTTTTTTCAGTTTGTTTTTTTTAACCAATACTTTTTACTTATTTTTTCCTTTTCTCTATTTTGTTTATAAGATTATTTTTTTTATTTATGCATATCTACATATATATAGGTGAAAAATTAAAGCTTCCGCCTTTTGTTGGGTACTTCGACAAAATTTAAGCAAAGAGGACTCTTTATACTTTTTTTAATTCTCTCTAGCTTTCAATGGACTTTGCCATCATCATCAGGAGCTGCAATTACAATGATAACAGTAGCAACAAAAGTGTAAAATGAATTTAAATTGACTCAACTTACAGTAGTATGTGAGGATGTTGCTAATTGTTGTTTACGTATAGGATGAGGGAAACGTCCAGTAACATGGTGAGAGCTGGATAGATTGTACAATGGTCAAAATTATATAAAATATGACAAGAACAAGTTAAAAACAGATTAAAAATTATTTAAAAAACATTAGAGCATTACATCGTGAAGCCACTTGATGATTGCACAAATTAGTGGTCATGGAATAATGAGTGAGATGACACCCTTTTGACAGAAGGCCGAAGGATGTCAATGTCTGTGTTGAAAGATGGAACGAATTGTGGGCGTGTGCCAAACGTTGCCAAATCACTTCAGATGATGTGATTTTCAGAATTTTATGTAAGAATTTGTTCAACCGACCAAAGGCAGTTGAATAAACTATATCATATCAATATATATATATATATATATATATATATATATATATATATATATATATATATTACTTTATACTGATCTGCTTTTTTTTTTTCAATATTTTCTTCTTTTTTTATTTTTTTTATGGATTTATTTGACGACAAATTCGTCTTGATAGTGGGATTCAAAATTAACTGTTGCATGCTTATAAAAATATTCCTCACTCCGCACACGGCTTGTTTTGGATAACAGTTGCTTTTGACAAATATTCCATCACTGATCACTGAAATTTTAGTCTACCCGTCACAACTGAAAATAAATCTTTGGTTTCAGAAACTTTTCTGATGGTCAGATTCAGCAAACATAACCTCACATCCTGCGCAGCGCACTACCCACTGAAAGTCACCATGTTCCTCTGTCTCCCCTCCAAGACCTGCGCCTCCAGTGTTGCCGGATCGGACGCTACGTTGCCAGTGTCATCACTTAATTTACAGACCTCGCATATACGGATAAATCCCCAAAAACCTCACATTATCCTCTACTGGCAGTGGTGCAAATAGTTGATCAAACCAATCGTTTAAAACGTCTAACAGAGTGTTACATTAATTTATTGGTATCAGGTATTTGATAGAAAAATCGGATTCATCACTAATCGTTTATTTTGCGCCACCCTATATGAAATTTTTGTGTCCAATTTCAAAGGCCTAGCACTACAACCGAGTTTTGTCCTTCCTTTCAGTCAATAAAATCCAAAGCTCGCATACCCCGAAGAGATAAAAGTAATAATATCCACGAAGCGATTATACTGGAATTACGTCTACCTAATTATGAATGTTATTTGAAATCTGTCGGTTTCCATATAAGGCGTAAGATGTGTTTTGAATGAATACATGCATATAAATGCGACAAGTGGAGAGATAATGCACCTGGTTTTAGAACATCAAGTTGGCCTCGCTACGCAACGCCCACGTCAAAAATAACATTTTTTAGGTTAGGTGTGTCGGAGACTAATTAAATAATAAATAAAAAACGTCATCCACGTTTCTAATCTGGCTCCACAGTATGCGTATCACGAATAGTCAGGTCACTACGTGGTCGAAGCGGCTTTAGACAAACTTTACACTCGCGGAATAAATTTTCCATGATCAAGATCGTAGGATAATAACATTTATATGTATACTGACATATAAATCCGAACACCCAGTTTAAATGGTTTTATTTTAATAAAAGTTGGTGAATGTATTTATCTTACTGTAAATAACAAGTGAAAAAATTTTCAGCCTTATCAGTTGGACATTCCGGTTTTTATACTGCTTTTTTTTAATTCACTAACGCTCTAAAAATGAATATTTCAGCCGCAGTAAAGAATCAACGTTGGCGGATTTTGGTTCTTGACATCCTTTACGATCGGTTACGATGCCTAGAGTACGGAGACCTGTACGATTTCGTCAACTTAGCGAGTTTGATAGGGGCCGTATAGTGGGACTTCGGAAAGCTGGACTTTCTTTTCGCGCAATTGCAGTTAAAGTGCAAAGAAGTGTAGACACTGTGGTTAGGTGTTGTCAGGCATGGCTTCGAGAAGGCCGTACGCAAAGAGCAAGGGGCACTGGACGACGCCGTAGAACAACAGACCGTGAAGATCGCCGCCTAAGATTATTGGCCTTAAGGGACCGTTTCTCCACTACCAGGTCCATTGCAAATGAATGGTTTGCAGAACACGGAAGACCTATTGGTGTTTACCGACGAATGAGAAGTTTTGGCTTGTTTTCATACCGGCCACACTGGGTCCTCCCTTTAACTCGAGAACACCGACGTAATCGCCTTGAGTGGTGCAGACAACGGTCATTCTGGGATCAGGAATGGAACAGTATTGTCTTTAATGACGAGTCTCGATTTTGTTTAGGCATGCACGATGGTCGTGCCAGGGTTAGAAGGCGACGTGGTGAAAGGAGGAATCCACATATTTTTGTTGAAAGACATGTTCATCACAGGTTTGGGGTGCTATAGCTTATGGTTCCAGGTCACCTTTAATCTTCATCAGAGGTAACATGAACGCGCAGCGTTATATCCACGAAGTTCTAGAACCCCATCTTTTACCCTCTTGACACCCTGGCCTATCCAACTTTTCAACACCGACCACATGTTGCAAGAGTCACAATAGACTTCTTTCAACATAATGATGTCACATTGTTAGCATGGCCACCAAGATCTCCCGACTTATCCCCAATTGAGCACGTGTGGGATATGATGGGTAGGAGAATAAACTAACACAAGTAACAAAGTCAGTTTCTTGAAGAAAGATTTTTACATTTCTTTTGAAATTAGCTATTTTTATACAGGGTGGTTCACAAGTCGTGACCAAAAATGTAACATCATACAAGGGACCGCGTTTTAAGGGCTTCATTGAAAAGATATGGGGTGTTGAAGTTTAAACATAAAAAACATTTTTTTTATCTTCAATCTCGTCAACTGAAATTTGGTATGTGGATTCACATAAATATTATTATCCATATTAAAAAATTAATTAAGTTAGAAACGCCCAATTTTTGGAATTTTACCATCAATTTACTACAAATAGCTTGTGTTTTTTCCTAGAGTGCATTGTTTTCGTAATAATAAAAAACAGATTAGATAATCTAAGCTTTATTTCAATAAATATTCAAAAATACCACCATTCTGATGGACACCAGTGCGGCATCTTTTTGATAAAGAAAAACGTAATTCCACAAAATTTGATGTGGCTTGAATTTGATGGAAGGCACTATCGATTTTTTCTTGCAACTGATGAGTAGTATTAATTTGATCAGACAAATTTACTGGCAGCTCAGGTTTTTTTTGGAGAAACGCTCAGACCCGTCGATTTTGTTTTCGAGGGGGACACAAGTTTGGCGAAAAATCACGTTAACACGTGCAGCCCCCTGAGCGGGGGTGACACTAACCCTAAAATCTTAAATGCAAAGGGGGGTCGAGTGATACCTTATTTTAAAGGTCTTTCAATTCACTTTATAATGATGTAAAATACATGAGCTTCAGTTCGGTAGTTTTGAAGATTTATTGATTTAAAGCTTTAATCTATCGGTCACTCGCAGGGTTGCCAAGT